TGCTCTTCTTGATTGGCGCGACGACGTTGCCCATGAGGTTTTGGAGCACGGCTTCCTTGCTGATTACGGCTCAGAGATGTTCATGTCTAATGAGACTCTTCACCGCATCGTTGACTGTGCGCATTGGAAGAAGATTGAGGATGCTAATCAGCTGTATAGGGAGACCCGGTGGCCGCGCAAGTACGTGACAGCGTACGCTACCGCTCTTCTGTCAATTATCACTCGGATCTGGCCATTACCGGCACCCGAGCCAGAGCCCGACTCCTTATCTGTGGTTCCCATCCCCGTAAAGCCAGTCCGACATTGTGGGGTGTGCGGAGGTCCGGGACACAACAGTAGGTGCTTTATTCTCTTCGCATTCGTTATATCCTGACCACACTACCTTAGGGAAAAACAGAGCCTGTCCGGAGTACTATACAAAGGGTCCTGGTGCCATCGTTGCCACCGAAAATACACCTCCTACGACACCTCGACACGCTGAAACATTTCTGCCACTACAACGGTTGGTCACTCCGCTCCGGGGAGAGAAACCTGCATCGCATACAAGCGTATCATTCCGTCCATCACTCCTATCTACGCCAACACCGGGGCCTTCTCATTCTGCGAGTACACCATCAGTGCCTTCACATACCTCGGAATCTTCCCCACTGCCACTTATTTTCCTCAACTTTAATCCTAGTAACCCGTATCCCGAATCTCTTAATTAATTCTTGACGCTCGTATGGCATTTATGTATATAATGATACTACTACTTCACGACTTAGAATCTTCTGCTAATCCTCAACATCATCGAGCTCAATATCAGTATCATCATCGTCGGACCACAGGTTCTCATCTTCATCATCACTCTCGTGCGGCTCAGTATCCTGTTCCATATGTATTGAACTTGCTCTCGCAGGAACCTCGCCCGTATCTTCTTGTACCCTTGCACCTGTGCCAAATGACGTCCCTGCGCAATAGGATTCGGAATGCTGTACTCAGATGTTCAGCCTCTCTCTGTACGATGAGGCTGGTGCGTGGCGAAGTACTGCATGAGCTTTTTGAAGGTACGCTGCATTTTGGGACTGCCTCGTCGGCCCGATCCATGATTGATTCGAAACATCTTCTCAATCTGAATGCGCGCATTCTGAAAGACACCAATAAGAGGTGATTCCTGAATGATGCGCCGCTTAGTATGATTGGAAAACTTGCCACCATATATTCTCTGATGAAAACCGGTTAAGAGTCGTTGAACATGAATAAATGCTGGGTACCTTTTCATAGAGATTGTTGCGTTCAACTACCCAATCAACACCACGACCATGTCCTTCTTGTGCCTTAGGGAAGACAATGATGTTATAGCGAATGGCCTTTCTACGAAGCAGAAGTTATTTCATTAAGGAGCTGAGCAAGTTAACTAGACACGCACTTCAGTCCGGCGGGATAACGGAAGTGTACATCACGAAGGTACTTTCGTAGATATGTTGAATACTTATGCTTCCCACAAGAACGGAAAATATACACCCATGGCATGAAGGTTGTCTCTAAGCGTCCGATATCGCCCCAATTCAGAGCGTAGGTGAACTCTTCGTAGAGAAGGAATAGTGATGCACGCAGATCATGATTTTCCTTGACCTCGTCGCGCTCGGCAGCGGGACGGGCGCGTTCTCGGGCAAATGAAGGTCCAGAAACGTAACCTTTCGCAAGAGCATTGGCCATTTCAGTAAGCTTCTCCCAGCTTGGTTCGGATTCTGCAAATGCATCCAGACTGTCCGCTCCACACTCAATGCGCCAGCAATCCAGGCGAGACACGATGCCGACATGCTGTATGACCTCGTGCATCCGCCGGAAGCCAGGCTTTGTCTTGATCTTGTGTGTTTCGCGTGGGCGAAGAACACGAACGCACTGCATCAAAGATAGTGGATCAGTGTCCTTGCGGGCGGCGGCCTTCTTGATGAGGATCTTCCATACTGCATCGGCACATGCCATCTTGACGTGAAAGAGGCCGAGTACATATATAAGAAACTGGAACCGTCGCCAAGGTGTCTTCTCAATGACTCGGGAGGCCATTAAGCTTTGTAAGTGCTCGCCGACCCCCAAGTCACCAAACATGAGGAGGACACGATCGAGAAGATCCTTGAACTTGGGCGAAACACCGCCGCGCTCGTCTATAACCTCACCGCCTAGATGTGCCTGCTTCTCTACCATGTTGACCACTACAGCTGCATTCTCAGCAGAGGTAGTACACGGCTGATCCATCATATGCAAGTGAACCTGCTTCATTTTGGTAACAGGTATCTTCTCCACAGTCTCTGGATGACCGACACGTTTGGCGAAGCGACGAAAGTACTGTGGTCCATGATGTATCAGATCAGAAAGGAATTTCCAGGCATTAAAGCGCTGGCGTCGCGTAAGTCCATTCTGGAGAGGGGGCTCTGCGTGGATCTTTAGCAACTGATCGTCGTCGATATCCGGATAAGACAGTTTACGGTCACCTCGTAGTGGCGACTTCTCCCATAGCTCTGCAGAACAGGATAGATCTGCTTCGGATATATGCTGAAGTGGAAAGGAGGTAGCAGTTGTCATATGGATCAGTGTAGGATGCGAAGTCTCAAGGGTGGGTGTTTCCTGAGTAAGATTGATATCCAGATTGTCGTATGCAAAGCCGAGCAAAAACGTGAGGGCCATCTTCCGTAGTTCCTGCACAACCGTGGCTGAGAGATTGGTAATGGCGTCGTTGATGCTCGGAGAGGATATGGAGATGCCTATATGTGAAAGCATCTGTACGATTGCTTCTGGTGCATTACAGGAGTGAAGGAAGACACCGATGAGTGTCTGGAGCGCGTTACATGACTGATTCGAGCTGTGCATCATGACACTGATGCACATAACCTTTTTCTGCTATAGATCAGGCTTTGGTAAGAAACCCGTCGAGGAAATGCAGCTCACCATCTGTATCAAAGCTTTATGGCGCTCAAGCGCGTCGTTAACCGCGTCCTCCTCAATTTCGGCATCATCTTCCTCCACATCAAGCTGTTCCGGCTGAGTCCCATCCGCATCAACAAAGAAATCATCGGGGAGGTCCTCCCACATATCCTCGTCTTCGTCCACCTCATTCTCAACGCCTGATACATCCGCCATCACGACATCTTCTCCAGAAAAGACACCCCATCCCCGAGCTTTGGATCCCTTCCTGACAGCGTAGCGCTGTCGCGCGCGCAGGCGGGCTTCTGCACGCCCCGGGTCCGCATCCAAAGTACAATCTAAGACCCCACAGAGTGTTGGCGCCGTGCTCTCCATATCACGGCGCATCTCCTCAAAGTCTATTTCGGTCAATTTGTCAACCGTAGTCCGCTTCGCGTTGAACCGATAACGATCTGTATGGTGGATAAGTGTGGATACTTCAAGCGCGAGTGCCGTGTTGATGGTCAATCGTGCGCGTGCAAGGATGGTGTCGTGTGTGTGTCGGGAGTCGACAAGCGCATCGTATACCATTCCAATGCGAGATATGAAGTCTTCGAGTAGGACATGACTGGCGGGTTCGAGGTCATGCAACGCGTAGAGGACCAGATCGATAAGGGTGGATTGCTGATTTTGCAGATGGGACAGGATAATGTTGACTTGGGTTGGATTCAACGGCATAGAGATACACGGAAAATAATAATGAATTTGAACGAGACGCGTCGGAAGCGCGTCGAAAACGAAGGATGAGAGTAAGAGAGTAAGCGGAAATGCTTGTTTGGCGCCGTCGCCATCAGCGATGCCGAACCGCTGCCGTGACGAATATGCCAGCCGTCCTGGCGTTTGATCTTCCCACTGTTGCTCTCTTCTTATTGGTCCGTGAAATTTCCTTTTATATTCTCACTCATATTTTTCGATTTTCATTTCGCTCACGTATTTAGCTCAAACGCCATCGACGGCTGGTTTAGGAGCCTGCCAGGGATGTACGGCAGGGAGATATCAGAGACATCTGAGGGATGGCTAAGTATCCCTCAGAGATCATCATCATCCCTCGGTGGAAAGGGACCCTACCCATCAGGGACCATGGGTCTCTGACATCTTCATCATCCCTGGCATCCCTGACCTCCCGCGAGGGATGCCAGGGATGCTAGGGAAGACCCCGACATTTTACTGATGTATCCCTCTAGCCATGGCTCTAATTTGGTTTTTCTTTACTGTAGATGGCTCAAAACTCACATCGGGGCGGAGACGTGTATTCCTATCAATACCCAAATTCGTCGACGCGCTTTGGGGGACTGAGAAAGTTGTGAGCAAGCAGCCGGTGGCGGCTGTGCATGTTGATGTTAGTAGGGGGCGGGCTGTTCAGAGGCTGTGTGGTGCGTTTGGGAAAGACTCTTTTGATGTGAAGGGGAAGAGGATTGCGTTTATGTACGTTGTGTTTTCAGTGTCTATCTTCGGATTATTGAAACGTGCTGATAGTAACATATGGCGCCCGCTACGAGGCCCAGTCGTTGATGTTCCTCTTGCTGTATGCGATGCGCGGACAGTCGATGCGGCGGACATGGATTTGACCAGTGACAGAGTACGGTGTTCACTGTATCGTAAGAGCACGCCACTGATGATTACCGAGCAGCACGGTGGCGGATACTTTATCAGACAGAACCGTTCGTGTTTCTCCTCTCTTTGCGCGTCTTCGGATATCTGACAGATGGCGATAGCCAAGATGAAATGGTCTTACATCCGCAATCAAACTCCCGATGAGATCCTCGTGTTTAGGCAGTTTGATAGTGGTATGCTCTCTCCCAATCTCTTTTACGCGCAAGATGATAAGAGGTCAGCGATTGAAACTACATCGGGCGCCGCCGCATGCGTGCCACACACTGCTTGTGCGTACAGCTTTCTTTGTCATGGAGAACTGCCAGTGATGGATTCGTGTTTGTTAGTTATTGATGAAGAGCGGAAGGACCAAGGGCTGCCTAGGGAGAGTATTGAGTTGCGTTGCGCTGTTGTATACTAAGTCAATCATTTTCACTTGAATTTATTGCCAATCGTATCAGGTATCGGATATGGTGTAACGGCTAACATTGCCGCCTCTCATGCGCATTTTGGTCAGGCTAAGCGCGGCAGCTCGGGGTTCGATTCCCCGTATCCGAATGTGGATCTAGCCTCAATGTTTTTGCACCTCCAATTTGAATTTTGGATTCATACAGTTTTAACTTTTTCAGCATGTTACATACACTACATACTAGGATAACCACGTCGTGCGGAGTACTTGACAGCTAAGGAAGGTCCGGCTATAGCCCCTCATGCTTTCCCTGAGATTCATTAACGTTCGTAGAGCACCAGGCGCAGATGACTCAAGGTGGCATGGTTGGATGTCGCGCGCACACAAGCGTAGATGACATCCGATGGTGCGTGCCGTCTTGTCGAAGCGAGTTAAAGACAAAGGCTGCTAGAGACGCCTGGCGTCGGAGATCGTAGGAGCTAGAACTGTCGTCGTGGCAGGACCCGAGGTGCTAAATCAGAAATAAACACATATAAATTCACAATGAGTAGAAGTACAATGCATATCAACAACGAACCCTACCGACTGTGAGTTGCATTCCCCGGAAAAGATAATTTATGTATGAACCATCATTGCCTTTACGGATAACCAATTGAACTGAGTTGCGACCGGTCTGCAAAGCATCATGATGACCACGTTTAATGCCTCTTCTGGCAACTCCAAGTCGTGTTCTTATCGAATTGGGTGCTCAGTGTGACCTACGACACGTCGCATTAGCTTGAGCCCTAAACACCAGGACTCGACATACGGCGGTACCATCATCGCTAGTCCGATCTCAACCACATCGAAAGAGAGGAGATGAAAACATACGTGTACATGCCATCATTGGTCTCCGCAATAGCCCATGATCCTGCGCACGCGCCGTAACCTCCGTACCAGGCTGAGCCTGATCGCCGGTGTAGACCTTGCGCGCTGCACCCTTGTTTTCGATGCGGTAGATGCCGTCGTGCTTCTTGGTGATTGTCCACTACATACACTCCGAGTTAGAAGTGCGTTGAAGAGGACGAGGGAGAAGGAAGTCAACCCACCTTAAACGAATCTTGGTCAGCGTAGTACGCGATAGTGACTGGCGTGCCCAGGTTGCCGCTGACGAGCTGGTAGGCGCGCTGGTAACCTGCGTTGGTGATGGATCGATGGGGGCCATTGCTTTCTGTTTAAGATGATCTACGAGAAGATTTGCTTGTAATCGATGTGATAAAGAATTTCACCTGGAAGAGAATACGCCTTGATAGCGTATGTTTGTATGTACGCAGTTGGCTATGGAAATGTGTGGCGCCGGTCGTATGTTCATTCCACCGCGCCCAAGGCAAGTACAACGCGCTGTGCGTCTCCGGCGATTCTGCGTCCCGTGCATACTTACAGGGCCACATGACCGTCGAGGAAGAATAGAACGCAGCGTCTGGAATGTTCACACGCGCAGGTCAAGACATGTAGTAATCATTCCAAGTCGAAAGAATGAAGACTATCCGAGGAGGGAGCTCATGGTCCATGGAGATGCGGAAATGTGGTAGCTTTGACACTTGAGCGCTGCGGAGAAGCCGTCCGTACAGCAATGACAACACGCCAAGCAGATAGAAAGGTAAAAGTGACTGAGCTTGATGGAGGATTGAGAGAGAAGATCAGCCGGCTGTTGCCGCGTCGGACTTTGAATGACACTCCTCATCTCAATTGCTCTAGATTGCACGCAATCTAGTGTACTAGTCAAGCTCTTCATCTTCCGAGAAATAACTGATGCGCGTAGGATTTACTCCCTGCTCCTCCGTCGTCAGAACCTGGCGCATTCGAATTATACTGAATCTCAACATGACCTCGCCCGGCGCGTCGGACCATTGTGGGATCGTTATCATAACTGTGCTGACATTATTGACAGTCGGAACTTTTCCAAGCCTTGCTTTCAATGAATGTACTCGTCGGAAACCCGTTCTGATGCGCCCAAATGACTCGAGGGCAGAGTCCGGAGGTCGAAACCACCGGAAAGTTGAAGAATGGAAAGTTGAGCCTTGGTCTTTGCATTGAACTTGATATGTACTGCTTCACTAGATCAGCTTGCTCTTCTGGTATCAACCTACGTGGCCTCTCGGTCTGTTACGGCGACCCGCTATGAAGCCTGGCTATGAATTCATCCACTAACTTTCAGCTAATGGCGTACTCTGCTCGTTCGATATAAACGACGGGCATGACGAAGGCCTTACAATGGTACTTAAGCCAAACTGGATCCCAGTGAACACCGATACAAACATCGGCGGTTTGCTTTGCTTTTGAGCTCGCGAGAGATATCTCCTCTGAGCAATGGTCGCCGCCCAGATGGCGAATACGCGAACGATATTCATCATTCACAGAACTCCGAAATGACTATTCATTCCAAAAAGCACCCGAAACCTCGTGCACTGAAGAATGGAGCCGCCGGTCATTCCTACTTCCATGCGCAAACAAATGCGACCATTCTTCCCTCTTGAACGAGGCTTAATCGCAGTATAAAAGCATCCTTTCGTCCAGGTGAATTTTCACATCCCACCAATTTTGAACAAGTCATCTCATCGACAAGCCTCCTACACAGAAAGCAATGGCCCCGATCGAAACCGGAACCTACTCCATCACCAACGCCGGCTACCAGCGCGCCTGCCAGCTCGTCAACGGAAATCTGGGCACGCCAGTCACCATCGCGTACTACGCTGACCAGGACTCGTTCAAGGTGGGTTTCATTTCTTCTCCTTCTTCTTCCTTTCCAATCATTTTCTGGGTAGTGGACGGTCACGAAGAAGCGCGAGGGCATCTACCGCATCGAGAACAAGGGCGCGGCGCGCAAGGTCTACACCGGCGATCAGGCTCAGCCTGGCACGGAAGTTACGGCGCGTGCGCAGGACCAGGAGTGGGCTATCGCGGAGACGAATGATGGGACGTACACGTAGGCATTTCATCTCCTCTCTGTTGAATTAGTCCCGGTTCTGAAGTGGGTGTTTAGGATTAGCACGACTGGAACGTTGAACAATTGGAGGTTGGACTCGAGCGATGACGGTACCGCCGTATGTTGAGTTTCACCTTTGAAGTTGGATGGTCAACCTGATTGCGCCGTGTTATAGGTCACGCTCAGCTCCCAAGCCGATAAGAACGCCACTTGGAGTTTCCAGAAGAGGCACTAAGCGCCTTCAAGTTCTCGTTCGAGAGACCGGTCATAAAACAGTTTTGGTTATTCGCATAGGCCTTGAAGTCTGTAAAAATTTATATTTCGGGTAAGGAAAGTGTAGTTCAAGTTGGTGGGTGTAGGGTTTGTTGTTGATACGCGTTGTACTTCTGCTTGTTATGCATTAGCTATTTTCTTTTCTGTTATCGGTTTCTGTAAGGACTCAGGATCAGCTGCATCTAGGGTGAGAAACACGTCGCGCTTGTTAATGTATCAACGAAAGCATACATCAAATTACGCTGTAAGGAATGCACCCAGTGCGGAGGCGTCGATAACTCAACTCGCTTCGGGTAAGGTCAATAGCATACAGTCTATTTTATCAATGGTCAATTTATGACAGAAACACATGAATGGAATATGGCACTCACGGTATTAAACATTCAGCCCCTGCGTCGCTTCCCAGTCTTACTTGCCTCGAGAGCATCCTCCTTCCTTTCCCCTACTCGCTCTAGGAACTCCGCTTTCTCTAAATATCCTCCCGCCCGTCGACTGGCGTCAAGCTCATCCTTCAAATCAGGATCAGCAGTCGAGACATGGGCGCGCCACTGCATGGCTGACATGTCCAGCGTCGTAAGCTTCTTAGGCTTCGGTTTTACTTTCGCCTTGAACGACGCATCAGGGAGGTCGTTGAGGGAGAGCCTTCCTTTTCGTGGACCTGGTTTCTTTTTAGGTAGAGCTGCTACGGCACTGGAGGACGACGCGCGCGCTGTCTCGGACCACCGTGGCCATTTCTTCGCGTCCTCTGAATCTTCGGGTACATCAACGACTTCTCTGAGGAAATGTTCATGGTAAGAAAACGAAGGACGAGGACACATACGTAACTATCTCGCCAGCGAATCGATGCTGCTTGCGGATCTTCACCGTCTTAATGGACGGCGCTGAAGTAGCATTTGCAGTGGACTGAGATGCAACTGAACCTTGAAACGATTGCCATACGCGTCTTTCTTTCTATCAAGTTTTCTTAATGACCGAAAAGTAATAGCACAGTGAGCACGCACTGCTTCTGAGCTATTTTATCGGCTCTGAGGGTTCAGGAGAGCTTGTACGAGCGCGTTTAGCATTTCGCTCGTCGTCCGAAGAATCCGACTCTAACAGCTGTTAGTCTAGACGTGTTATCGCTTTACCGCAACATACGGACCACCTTTCATAGTAGGAGGCGCATAGTCCCCATCTTCTTCGTCATCCGAGTCACGAAGGGTAGTAGCAGCCAATGTTGTCATTGACAGATGGTGGCAGAAGGGAAGGAGTCAATTGGAATTGCATGCCGATCCGCCGACCAACGATCACGTGTCCGTTGTATTTGTCTTGACTCTTGAGACTTGACCCCCACCACAACATTGAACAAGGAACCATTGCCCGTCAAAGGTTCTAGTAGCCCGTGTATCGCGGTATTTCTACATCGTGTGTTATAGGCCTGTTTCTCTCCGATTGCAGTCCTTCTTGTTGAGGTACGTAGCATCATTGACATCTCTTACGCTGGCATGGCGTGTCTAACTTGCAAAAGACATACAGCACGACGAAATGGGGGACGCTTATGGCGGTCCCATACCGCTCTGTCAGGAACTCGTGGACTACGTCATTGACGACCTCAAGGATGAAACCCCCACGCTGCAAAGCTGCAGACTCGTCTCCAAAGACTTTCAAAGGCAAACACGGGTCGAGAGGTATCTCTTCCAGAAAATCGTCTTCCCACATCTGTACAGATATGGGTCTGAGGCTCGGTCCAAATCGGACTTGTTAGGCCTAGCACCGCATGTGCGCACGCTCTTCGTCAATCGGGAGAACCGTGACCGGATATCCAGGCGACGAAGGCTGCCCACCACCGCCACCACCACCACCACCGACGACGACGACGACTTAGACATCTCCCGCTTCGAAAATCTCAAAACGCTGGGGATTGTCAACGCT